CTCAGATGAAAGACTTGGGAGGATGGCGATTACATATTGGTGGTTTGGGATAGCAACGAAGGGGCAAAAAGAAGGCATTTTAATTGTTTCCCTCGATGGCGGATGTGTTCTCGATTGTCGACCTATTCTGGTCACCCGGAACCAGCGAACCCGCAGAAAAGCGAGCCGACTCCTGTAACAACATGCAGAGATGGTATACCTAGCATACAAGCCTGGTTGCTAGTGCGAGGCCAGGTACTGATACCCAGCATTTTGCCGGCCTTGGATCTCTCTATATACCAACGCTTCAACCTCCGCCCCGGGCAACGCCGACCGATACACTGTACCACAACTTTAGGGGATGCTGTTTTGATAAAATCCGGTCATTTTTTGGGGTTTGGATATTTTACCGCTAAAGGAGAGTATTCTGTTCTTTGAGCCAAATGAAATGAAGCAAGATGTTATTGTGTGCTCTGGCGTGCAATCATGGATTGTGAGGCTTCCTCCCATGAGCCTCCTGATGTGACGACGAGCAGCAGGTCGCAGTTCCGGGCGTATGTTCCACATCGATGCATCTGCATGTCACCGGCGAGGATGAGATCCGATCTGTTGTCTCGGCTGAGCCCAACATGTAGAGCCACAACCCAAGACCCAGCAAGGCAGTGCATTGATCTTCATCCGGTCCTGCTTTTTGCCTGCACAGTACCTGCATAGCCCGGCACCACCACCGGGAAGCGCCGTGGATTAAGTCAGATTGCATACATACTCGGTTGCGCGGTTGCCTTTTGCGTGGGTTACTAAGTCTTGCCTCATGCGAACTTGATTGCCTGCTTGGTTGGGTTGGTTGAGGCTTTTCTTTTTCTCTCTGGTTATCCGGTCGATCCTTCGTCAGTGTCAATGGACGATCGATGGATGGGTGGTTCGACTGATCGATGGATGAACTTGTTCCACGCGAGAATCAAGGGCAATATTTCGGCCCCTTTTTTCTCTGACCTCACCTCACCTCACCTCACATTGCCGTGCCTGGTGGTGGTGCGTGCCCATCCAAGCCTGACAACCGTAGATGTTGTAGACGTCATTTCTTTTTCTTTTTTTCCCGATCTGCCACCACTACCACCACCACCACTGGCAGGATGCTGATGATACCCATGCCATGAATTACAGATCAGCCGCTCAGCCGCTCAGCCGCTCAGTATGCATGCATACATACATGCATGTATGTACAAACCTACTCAAATACTTACGTAGGTACACTAATATGATGACTTTGGTACCAAGCCAGGTTTGCCAGGCAACCAGGGTCTGTACTCGGTACGTATCTAGGAATCACTTCGCGTCAACGGAATTTCGGAATGTACCGAGAACAAGTACAACTACCAACGAGGTATTTTCTTTTCTTTTTTGGTCACGTTAGTCTCCATCTCTCACTCACTAACACGCATGCACACATCCTTGCATTCTTTGTATCCTTGTCTGCATGAAAACATTCATCCACTCATCCAGTCAGTCATCCATAGCGCTTTACTTGTTCCTCTTCCATATTCCATTTTACTCCCCCTTGCCCTGTCTAGCAACCTAGCAGCCGCTCAGTCCCGCCCCGAAACCGATGGAGAAGGTTCGGTCCGGCAGGATTATGTTATCCCCTGGATCTGATGCTGTGTCGTGTTGTCTTGTGTTGTCTCGTGCTAGGCTGTTCTTAGGGTCGTCTGGGGAAGGGGTGGTTTGTTTCTGCTAGGGCGATAGGGGTAGGAATGGGGATTGGAATGGGATCGGGACCGGGGATAGGACGTGAGATAAGTGAGACGAGACGAGACGAGGTGAGATGAGCTGAGCTGAGATGACTCAAGACTCGAGACTCAATATGCTGGTCAGCAGGCCGAGAGGAGAAAGGAGTTGGGAGTTAGATGCCTCTTTTGGCCCAGGTATTCGTTCTCGCGTGGGACATGTGATCAGAGGTGGTTCGTCCTCGTACTGTAGTAGAGGTATAGTCAGGTAGACTGTGTCAAGAGGGCGATGGATAAGAAGAACGGCGAGCAGAGGATACGGACCGCAGGGAGAGAGGCACGTAGCTAAGGAGGAAGACAAGAGTCAAGCGGTGATTATCACAGCGGTACTGACTACATACACTTCTAACCACAGTACCAGTACCAGGCACAAATCGACCGAGCAGGCACAATGACACAACGAGCAGATACTGTAGGTAGTGTTGGTAATGCTACTTCAAGATACCGACCGATCGTAAAATCCAAGCAGCACAACCAGCAAGACTCCAAAACATTGAATATGCCAGCCAGCACCACTTGATGCCACTGTCGCCGCCACGAGGGCATCTCCCAGATCGTAGCCAGCCAGATGATCCAGTTATCGTTCGCATAGAAACTCCATAACATGTGTGTGTCTCACAAAGCTTTTCTTTTAAAACTCTTTTACCAACCAGACAAAACCCAAAAAGCACACCGACCGCCTCACCAGCCCCTGCAGAGCGTGTATCGACTTGGTTCTCGTTTATGTACAGATGAGACAACGCGTTTCCATGACCGAAAGTGCATTCGTCAATCAAGCCAATAGGAAAATCGTTGCGCTGGGGCTTGTTGTACGTCTTGATTGTCCCGGCCTGGATGCTGTACCTTTCTCCTTTCTCCTTGCAGAGTAGTCAGCCTTGCCACAGAGACTCACCCTCTCCCTTTTTCTGTGTGCCTCGGATTATGGCTGTGGGAATGCAGCCATCAAAACCTAGTGGCGCAAGGAATGCGGGTCGTATCAACATCTCTGAAGTGCCTCTGATTGAGAATGCCTTGGGTCCGAATCTCCCCAAGAATGTGGATTGCGGGTTGGCGTCTCTGTTGCATTATCAATGCCGAAAGGGCATGCACTTCGTCAAGCAAATCAACTAGAGTCGTAATAATGGAAGTCCCGATTCGCCAAACACCTTTCAGGGAGTTGCAGCAGCGAAGCTTTTACTCGCTGTCATCACTGTCATCTTTCTTCACCCCGCTCTCGCGCTTCTTCTCCTTCTTCTCCTTCTTCTCCTTTTTCCTCCGTTTCCGCTCAGCTTTCTCTTCGGGCGTCTCACCTTCGTGTTTGCTCTTGCGCTTCTTGTCCTTTTCTTCTTTCTTGATCTTTGGGGTTGACTCGCCGTTTGTCGTTGCAGGCTCTGCTGCTGCTTTCTCATCAAGGTCCATTTGACTACCAGCCTCACCATTCGGGGCAACAGGTGGGGCGGAAAGGACATCGGCTCTGGACGTGGTCTCCCCGACGGGGGCGGATTTGGTGCCCTCTGCATTGGCGGAGGCGCTGTAGTCGGTGTACTCAGCATTCCATTTCGCCGGAGTGTTTTCATTTGGTCGGCCATATTTCTGTGGTAACACGTTAGCACCAAAGCGGATGAGAGGAAGTGGAGAAGACCATACATCAAGTTTTCCATCAGACTTCATCTTCTTTTTCTCGAGCGCCACAGGCCCCATACCCCATCGCCGCGGGTACAGATCCCTCTCCATGATGCACCGCTTAACTTTGGCAACGACACCATGGTCACAGGTAGACAACTCGACGGTTGACATCAACGCAATGCCAAGAGCAATTGCCTCGCCTTTCGTCGTCATTAGCACAACCTCTTCGTGGACCTCGATACCAGCCTCAAATCGCAGTAAACCGGGAATCATCAGTTTGGCGCCATAGCAGACAGCGTTGACCGCGCTGTCCTTGACAACAATTCTCTTGTATGTGGTCAACAGACTCTCAAGCGGCGAGATCACCCTGCGCAGATACGACTCGTCTCGGTTGTTGTCCATCATCCATTGCGCATCGAGAACGTCGTGCAACGTCACCATTCCATCGCTCTCGGCCATAGCTCCACTCCTTACTCTTCGCAGTTCCTGCATGTGCGCACCAACCCCCAGCAGCAATCCCAGGTGTACGCAGAGAGTTCTGATGTAGGTTCCAGCTTCGCAACTGACCCAGAAAACGCCAAGATGCCGGTCATTGTCGAATTCGTACAGCTTGCTCTCGTGGATGGTTCGGATACGGAGCTGTCGCTTGACTGCAGAAATGAGGGGAGGTCGTTGAAACAGAGCACCTGTCAATGTTTCGAGTGCTCGAGCAAACTGCGCTTCTCCTCCAGGCAATTTGTCGTGTAGTCGGATAACGCAGACGTATTCTTTTCCAGCACCTTGTTGCGATTTCACCAATCTAGTAGCTCGGTCGATACAGACAATCAAGCATCCTGTCACTTTGGGGTCAAGTGTTCCGCTGTGGCCGGTTTTCTCTACCCGCAATATGCGCTTAACCCAAGCGACGACTTCGTGGCTGGAGGGGTTTGAAGGCTTATCGAGATTGATGACGCCGGAAGAGATGTAGGATTTAAGATCGCGTTTCAATGGGGTGCAACCAACAGGAATCGGTGTGAAATGGCCCGTTCGAACCAATACTAGAATTGTCACGTTAATTGGAGCTCCGAGGGTCATGACCTTGGGGACTTGCGTTGATCATAGTTCTTCAACAGCAGCGGCCACTCAGAAGTAGGGATCTGAGGCGTGATGTTCTCTGGTTTGATGCTGAATTCAGCCTCCGCGACCTTTGCCATGTTGGAGGTCCTGCGTTCGCCCAGATTGAGATTTGCCGTGCGCAGTTATCTTTGCAGAGCTCTCGGGGAGCTAGGAGATGGCTCAATGAGATACAGCGGGAGCAACTCCCAATAGGAAATGCTTTGTATTGCTGCAGATAGTGATGTGGGAGTATGTTACGCAATACTAAAAAAATATCTTTATTCTTTGCGACCACAGGACGAAAGAAATGGAGTCGAGCAAAATCTTGAACGGCGTGTCGGTGCGGAGAGAAAACTAGTCCTGATACGGACTAGTGATGAACAAAGGCTTGGCGCTATCAAAGCCTCGAAATATTTTCAGGCAACGTTCCTATTACGACACTGTGTCCAATTCCCGTCATATATAATCAACCCCATTCTGCTCATGTCTTGAGAAACTCTCTGGACTGTCGTTGTTTCTTCTCATCTCGCACCCAAAATGAGCGGCGGCGGCGTTGACATCATGGACAGATTCTGGAGTACCCCTCCAGTCACTCGGTCGGTGAACCACCTCCATCTTCTGCTTCATAGCTCCAGTACATCTAACAATCTCAAAGGACCATTGTGGTAGCAATGTTTGTCGAATCTGCACTGGTCCACTCAGGTCTGGTCTCGGGCATGCGGATCGTCTATCATACGCCATGGTTATTCAAGTTTCCTCCTGAGCTTTGGCGGCTACTTTCCTCCTTCCTCTTGACAGGTGGTGGCTTTTCCTTTGTTTTCGACCTCTATTTCAGTGAGTTGCATTTTTCCTGTCGTTGAACTGTTTCTGATTTCACTAGTGTACACATACGCTTTGGGCCTAGAATTGAACTCTCCTCGATTTGCCCAACCGGGCGACTTTTTCACCTATATCTTTTTTGTGGCAACAGCCATACTGGTCAGTCATCTAGTCTTTCCTCCCTCATCTTCCCATTTCCCACGAATTCGACACCTCGCATATCTGCCCGCCCAGTCATTTTCCTAGCTGAAGCGGTTCCTGGAAACGAGGGAGATTACCCCTGTGGCACATAAAGCTCCCGTCATTCGCAAATCTGTCAATAGGACTTTATGCGGCACAGGCATGGTGGTGGCTCCATTGAGAAAGCTGTTCGTGAAAAATCAATTTGCGTGTGGCGGTTTAGGCTTCCTACAACCCAACAAACCATCCCTTAATTTTTATTTTGTCCCCAAAGCAGAGTACAATATTGGTCTGCTGACTTGGGATCAGGCATCTGGAGGGCTTATCCTTGGTGGCCACGTCTTTACTCAAGCCCTCCTTCTCGCGCTCATCTATACCTTCGCGCAAGACAACAGGGGCAAGAAGGCACATTTCATCATACTTCAAATACCCGTCGAGCTGCTCCCATGGGCTATGCTCACGCTGACCCTGATCATGGGCGGGCCTCAAGCTGCCCTGCAACAAGCCACAGGCGTCTTTGCCGCCCATCTGTACGACTTTCTGACGAGGCTGTATCCGACTTTCCAGGGTGGCAGAAATTACATACAAACTCCAGCTGCAGTCAAGAGATATTTTGGCGCAGATAGAAGCTCATTCACTCACAAAGCTTATGGGACGAGCTTCAGACCTGGGCAACCTGTTCCCCAGCAGCAGAGTCGCGGTTGGACTAGTGGCTTCTCAAACTCTTGGAGTGGCAGGGGCGCCGGCCGGCGGCTGGGTGGCGACTGAAGGACCTTTGCCCGGCGATATATTGTGCACAACCTGTATAACAGCACTTGACGAGACATGAGATACCCAACCAACCAGACATTCCCCATCATCAGAAACATCCTGCCATCCTACTGTCGCCCTTCGTAAAGGGATCTCTTTGCCAAGACTAACCTGCAGCTGAAACATGTCCGACTTCAGGGGTCGATCCACATGGAATCCACAGCCTTGTCTTTTGCACGGGTTTCATACGCCTTCTGTCTCATGGCTCCAGTGTTTCTGGTCAACCTTTTCCCATATTCTCGATGCATCCATTGTGACTCGCTCCAACCAAGAAGGATCTGCCACATCACATGCTCCAAAGTTCGTTTGCCGAGGACGAGCCTGCGTCTCGAAGCATATTGGGAAACACTGTCCAGACAATGCTTGAGCCAGACCTCTCGCTTGTGCTGACTCTGGCTTGAACGCGCAAGCATTTCTATCGGAGGGAGCTTCCGAATCAACAAAAGCCATGAATTTCGAGGCCGTGCGTTCAGTGATGCTCAGTGACGCCCGCCATGGTGACCGTTATTCCCTGTCACCAACCCACAGTCTCGGTGCTGCGAATGCAAGAGAATTGTGGTTCTCGAGTATCAAGCTGTGGATATGCATCCCAAAGACTGGGTCGTGGCAATGGCAAAGGGAAGAGGAGGAAAAGTCTGAATTATTTTGACTTCTCGATATATATGAAAGCCTTCTCTCTCTCCCTCTTCCTGGCCTTTTCTCCCTTACTATCTCAACATTGACCGTGCCCTTTCCCCTCTTTTCGCAATTTCACAGTATAGCAGGCAGGTCCTGCTGCCACTTCGCTTTCATTTCGCTCACAAGAGCTTTTTGCATTCCTTTGGTCCCTCATCTGACCCGAGACTCTCACGCTCTCACGCTCTTAAGAGACAACAGGTTGTCCTTTCTTTTCGAATTTTAACACGACAATGGGCCGGTTCCTCATCTTTTCTTCTCTCAGCGTCTGCTTGTTGCTCTTGCCTGGTGTCCTTGCTGGCCTGGAACCACGGCACAACCTCCCATCGTTGGCACTCGCAGCGGGCCTCTTAGTCCCGAGTTTCTTTGCCCAAGGCAGCTCTGGCTATGTCTTGCCAGTGACTCCGTCGAGGCAGGAGTTGGCATGGAGACGTGACTCCCTTGTCCCGCGGAAGCACAGAGGCAACGGCCGCAATGGTAACGGCGGTGGCGACGGTGCCGCTGCTGCTGCTGCCGGTGCCAATGGGACTGATACTCAAGCTACCGCTGATGCTGTTGCTGCCAACGGGACAGATACTCAAGTTACCGTTGATGCCGCTGCTGCCTGCATGGCTGCGGCCATGGAAGCTGCAGTCAATCAGACCGGTGTGGCCAACGTCACCGAGGCTGTGGCTGCGAGCAACACCACCATGTCCGCGATCGCGAGCGCCTGTGCCGGCAACTCGACGGACCTAGTCCAGGCAGTGTCTGCGGCGACCAACGTGACGGCAGCGACAGCCAACGTCACGAGCGACGCAGCCGCAAGCAACGCCACAGTCGATGCTACAGACTCGGCAAGCAACTCCTCGTCGACTGATGCCGGGACCGGCAACAACAATGGCAACGGCAACGGCAACGGCAACGGCAACGGCAACGGTAACGGTAGCGGCAGAGGTCAAGGCAGAACCAGCAATAGCGACAACGGGAACGGCAACAGCAATAGCAACAATAACAACAACAACAACCCCATCACCGAAGCCATCGACGACGCACTGCAACTCATCGACTCCATCGTCAACAAGCGCAGCGCCGCCGCCATCGCCTCCAGCGAGAAAACCAAGCGCGACACCAAATACCGTGAAAGCGTGGTGCGCAAGAAATGGGCCGCCGGCCTCGACGAGAGGGCGTTTTGAGTGGGCAATTTTCCATGCATGTCCCTGCCCTGCCATCCAGGTATACATACATACGTACATACCTTTGTAGGGTGGGTACAGCGTGTCGTAACGAATCCCCACAGATAGGTGGGAGACTGGGTATCAAGGAAGAGATCGGGGTATTTGAATCCTGAGACCTGGGGAGAAAAAGAGGAGACTACAAATCATTTTGTGAAATCATCATCACAAGGTGGTGCTGCACACTCATTCAGTCGAGCGAACAAAGAATGGCATCAATGTATCAGTATCGAACAGAGGGAAAGGGATTGGATTGGATTGACAAAAAACGAAATGGGCGGGAAAAAGGTCTTGCCAAACTGAAATGAAAGGAAATGAAATAACATGCAATGACATAGGAATGGGGGAAATGTACCCAGAACCAAAAACCCAAAAAGCAAGATAGACTCCAGAGAGGTCGGAAAGGCAGGGAGGGAACGACAAATCCATAGACCCGACGAAAAAGAAAGTTTGTACGAACAGGGACCAGATGATCAAGTGAATCATTTCTTGTTTGGCGAGGTCCATAGGAAGCTCGTCTTAGTCCTTGTCACCAGCTTGCCTAGTACAATTGTGTGTGCCATGTGGAATCTCCATGAATCTTGGGCTCTGCCCTGATGGGAATATCATTGCAGAGAATCTCACCGAATAGCTCTTCGTATCCTTTCCTTTTGTCTGTGTCCATGCATCGGGGTATGTCTGTATCCATGAATGCATCCCTGGGAACGTTGAAAGCTGTTGAAGCAGTGACTGAAGAAACATGAACGACCCCTTCGCTATGCAAACCATGATTATTCGCTTGTCGCGCAGCTGGTGAAACAGGACGAGTGTGGTATCGACCTCCGGTACCAAGTTGCCAATCTCGGTCTTGGTCCGTCCCATACCGGTATCATCGAACCGAATCCTCAATTAATGGTGACTCGCAAAAGGTATCGTAGCCGGATCTGAGCCACGTCGTAGACGATGTATTCGTTGTACAAAAGTTGTGCACAAGGCTCGTTAGTTGGACTGGGCGGATAATTGACAACATCAGGCATCTTCACTCCTTTCAGGCTCGGATGCACGCAGCTAGCATCCTTCCAGACACGAGGGCTGGTTCGACCAACACCCCAGGTGGAAAGGTGGCCATACAACTTGACACGATCCTCGGCATTGTAATCGGCCTGCGTGAGTTTGAGAGAGGGGTTTCCCAGTTCAGCCTCGCAAAGCAGGAGTAACCCAGTTCCCGCACTGTTGTATGTTGCACAATAGCCAGCGCTCTTTGAGCTCATATCTGCAAGATACACTCCTTTGCCAAACATGTACCCTGATACAGGGGCTTCTGGTGGTGCAATCCGCAGGCCTTGACTGAGGATGCCACCAAAGTTGGTGACACGGGATCCATGCCAGAGCAAGCGGCGGTCACTCCTTGACCCGAGATATGCGTATTGAGAGTTGTCAAGTCGGTCACTTTCGCCGTCGCGCTCGATGCGGAAGATATCCTGCACCCCGTATCTAACAGCATGGGTGCTGCCAGTCGACAGGTTCAGGTAGTTGAAGATCTCGGTGAATTCTTGACTGTCCTGATCCAAAGGGATCATCTCTTTCATGCCCAGTCCCTGGTATTGCCGATCCAGCATATGGAGAGTCCTATGTTCCTCGATTGCAGCGGATTGCATAATCTCGTTGGCCAGTTGCATGTCTGTCAATGTCTCGAGGAGTTGAATTTCTCTCTGCATCACGGTTAGCTCGAGGACGAGTATGGCAGTGATGACGGTCACGCCCAAGTACCTTAATGGAATCCATATTCTTGAGAACGGGTAACTGACGGCGGCCAACGACATGCGGAACAAGTGAGAAGTACCGATTGCTTCTGTCCAGGACAGCTTGAAACGCTTCTTCTCCCATACCGGCGGCGACAGATGGGTCCGCAACAAGCAATGCCAGCTCTTTCAGAACTTCATACCCCTTAAGAAGAGTCTTCTTGCTCAACTTCCCAAGAGGCATCTTGTTGGCATCGTAGTCAAAGTCGGCCATGGTATTTTTGAAATACTGCATGTTGAAGATGAGCTCCATCAGGCGTTGGACCGGTGGCATGAGTTTGCTCGCGGCAAAGACCTTTTCTCTCACAGCAACTTCACCTTTCCGGCTCGCTTCCACGGGTTGTTTCTCAACTTCGTCCTCCGACTCTGCGTAGTTGATTTCAAGATATGCATACTTGCCCTTCCGAGACGGCGTATCCCTATTTTCCCATGTGAGACCGGCCTTCTCTTTGAATTTGATCCGAAAATACGAAAGAGCGTCGTCAAGGGTGCCGTCACCTAGCATCTTGCTCTGGCCGCCCTCACCCACACGACCCCAGCGTGTCCCTATATTTTGTCAGAGTTCAGGGTCTGTATCATCCATACAAACCTTTGAGGCGTTCGAGGGAGGCTCTAAATACTCATGTAAACTAGCCGAGAAAACTTACAGGTGTAGAAACGAGTGGATTGTCTCAAGAGCTGAACTCTATAGAACTTGTTGTTGTTCACTTTTGCGTCAGACTTGTTCAGAGTGGCATCGTATATCACGCCGCTGTCGTCCACATGCACAGCATAGTTGTGAGCGGAGGAGACGAACTGATCCACTGGAACTTTAATCGCCTTGGGTGCTGTGGGGATCGGTGATTGAGCTGCTTTGGCAGGCTTGGATTTCTTTGTCGGCACCGGGTTATCCTCGTCGTCGTCATCTTTCCGTGAGCGCTTTGATGACCTGGCAGCTGTCTTCTGAGAGGCTTGCGCACCGTTATCATTCACTGTACCGTCATCATCTGCAGGCGAGCTCTCCAGAAGATATTGTTCGACGTCTACCGGAGCACTCGAAGCTAGAGACGCTGCGAGCCACTCGTAAGAGACGATGAGAGTGTCAGGATTCTTTTGAGCCTGGGCGATACGATCAAGCTTCTTGCCAAATTGAACGTGAGTGGTGATGAGGTGCGTACACTCTCCCGGCCTCGGTGTGTAGAAACCGCCGCAGTTGGAGATGTCAGTCTTCAGTTGCGCAACACTCTTGTTCGAGAGTTCAGGGTGTGCGCTGGGGGTGTAAGAGGCGAAGCTGACGATGACACCGTCTAAA